CATCTGCCTGGATTCCTGCAAACACACTTAAAGGCGGCTAAGAGGACTGCCTCCCGGGTTGCTTCCCTCTATGGCCACCAGGTAGAGTGGGCCTCCCGCCTCACCCCGTGCGCCTGCCGGGTCAGTGGTGACTCCACGTGGGTTTGCAGCACACCCATGCTTCTTAGGGTCGGTCAGCCATATGCTAGTAACCAAGTGAAGTGACTTGTCCAAGGCCCCCAGGCTGGTCAGTGGGAAAAGTTGGGACCTGAGAGAGTTGATTACTATCCTGGGCCGTTTCCACCGTGGCCTCTCGGCCCGACAGCCACGGTTTTCCTGGGCCCGTGGTCGGCAAACTGCGCCTCGCAAGCCACATGCGGCTCTTTGGCCCCTTGAGTGTGGCTCTTCCAGAAAATACCACAAAATACCATGTGTGGGCACGCCCGTACAGTGCGATTGAAACTTCGTGGCCCATGCGCAGTAGTCGGTATTTTGTGGAAGAGCCGGTATTTTCTGGAAGAGTCACACCGAAGGGGCCAAAGAGCCACATGTGGCTCACGAGCCAAGGTTTGCCAAGCCACAGTTTGTTGACCACTGTCCTAGGCTCTCCTGAATCTTCTTACTGCGTGGTGTTAGTTTCCACATGTTCAGGTTCAAAGGTATATCAAAGAGCCACATGTGGCTCATGAGCCACGGTTTTCCGAGCCACAGCTTGCCGACCCTTGTCCTAGGCTCTTCAGAATCTTCTTACTGCGTGGTGTTACTTTCCACATGTTCAGGTTCAAAGGTACACCGTGTCGCTAATTAGAAGGATCACGCCGCGTTTTCAGAAACACTGCCAGACACCGTTTTTGTGAGTGTTCTGAGTGCCCCCCTTATGGAGTGGTGCTTCCCCGCAGGTGCACCTGGAACTACCTCCCAGCTCTGCAGTCGTGCAGACTGAAGGAGACTTCAACCTGCTCACGTCCAGCAACCCGAGGAGGTGCGAAGTCCTGAAGGAGATCCTGACCACCCTCGGCCTCAGCTGTGACGTGCAGCACGTTCCTGCCTTAACGCCCCTTCACCTGCTGCTGGCGGCGGAGGTGAGTGTGCTCAGCGCAAGGCCGCCGAGGCGCCCTTCTCCAAACAGTCACCCTGGCCCTGGCCGGTGTGGCTCAGTGGATAGAACGTCGGCCTGCGGACCAAAGGGTCCCAGGGTTCAATTCTGGTCAAAGGCACGTACGTACCTTGGTTGCAGGCTCCTCTCCAGCCCGGGCCCTCGTTGGGCGCGTGCAGGAGGCGACCAATCAGTGTGTTTCTCTCACATCGATGTTTCTCTGTCTTTCCCTCTCCCTTCCACTCTCCCTAAAAATCAATGGGAAAATATTCCGGGGGAGGATCATCAACAACAAAACGGTCAGCCTTGCCCTGACTCGTGGCAGTGGGCTTCCACTTTGATTTCTGTTTTGGTTTTTCTGTTTGGGCCTCTGCACAATCGTGAAGATGTCCAAGTGTAACTAATGATTTGGCATCTGCATCCAGGGAGGGGAGAAGACTGTTAGAATTTAGAAGGTGTTCAGTCTTAAAACTCTGGCCCTTCCCACGTGAAGGGGAAGGGCCACTGTCTGATGTGCCAGGAGGTACCTGGAAACCACAGTTCCGTCGTTTGATTTGGACCCTTCTCGGCGAATCTCTGGAAGGGAGCGTCCCCGGTTTCATTTTATTTTTGTGCTGACGCCTGCCACCTTGTGGCCAATCCTAGCCGTGTCTGCCAGGAAAGGGCCTGAGCCCGGAATGCCCACAGGGATTTCCCTGGCCTGGGGTCTGCACTTGGTGCCTGTGGTGGGTACCTGGCTTGAGCAGGTTGCTAAGCCCAGGTGAGGCTTCTTGCCAAGCTGTCAGTTTCTTACTAATTGTGGCAAATTATTCTGTGGGTCTGTTTCTGTTGCCTTCCCTAAATAGGGGAGGGGGTGAGTTTAGTGACATAACCGAGCAGATTCAGCAAATACCGACTAGCCCAGGTGACTCCAAACACCGCACTCACCTGCGTTCCCTTGAAGAGAATGCACTCTATCTCCTACCCCAGCATTTAAAGGGGGAGCCCTCCTTGGTTACACTTGGTCCCGTGGCAAACGCTGTGCAGAGCAGAGCAGAGCTGCGAGCCTCCCGTGGAGAAGACAGACACAAAAGCTGGAGCATTTAAGAGTAGGGTTTTTAAAAAAGTATATTTTATTGATTTTTTACAGAGAGGAAGGGAGAGAGATAGAGAGTTAGAAACATCGATGAGAGAGAAACATCGATCAGCCGCCTCCTGCACACCCACATCACTTATGAGAGAGAGTCATCTACTGGCTGCCTCCTGCACGCCCCCTGCTGGGGATTGAGCCCACAATTTGGGTATGTACCCTTGGCCGGAATTGAACTGGGACCCTTGAGTCCACAGGCCGATGCTCTATCCACTGAGCCAAACAGGTTAGGGCGAGAGTAGGATTTTTATAGGAGTGGGCAGCATCGAGGCCATACACTTTGGGGGCTGGAGAGAAAGGGGGTGAAACACAGGGAACACATACAAGCTTCCTGTAGGGAGGGTTAGCATATTACGCTTTGATTGGTTGAATGGACGACTGGACGACCAGACACTTAGCATATTAGGCTTTTATTATGTAGGACTAGAGGCCTGATGCACGAAATTCTTGCAAGGGGCTTGGCCCTCACAGCCCCGGTTTCGTCCGGAAGGTTGTCCAGAAGGACGTCCGGAAGATCGTTTGGCTGTCCAGTCTAATTAGCATATAATATTTTTGTTATTATAGATTGCATTTTCATTACACAGCCTCTAGTCAGTCTGCACGCTTTTTAATGGGTGCTTCTGAGAATTAATGATGTGACTTTTATTTGCACCTGCACCTCAGGAAATCAAAGCTCGCCGTCATTTATCTGTTTAGTGTGTTCTGTTAATAGAAGGAAAAGCTCACCTCCATCCATCTGGTGGCTGGAGTGTAGAAAAGTATTAAAATCAAGCTGGTTCTCAGAGCTTCTGCTCTTGTAGACAACCCCCCTACAGACCTGCCACCTGGCGGAAGGGACAGAGCCATGTGGGCACGGGGAGATGGGACTGTCACTCTCAGACACTGCCCCTCCCCCCCCTTTCCTGGGCATGGAGGGCTGAGGCTGGACATGTGAGGAGGTGCCTGCCTTCCCCGGAGGCTCACGGCCAGGGAGGCCAGGGAGCAAGACAGATCAGGGCTTGCCCTTGACTGCGCTCTCTGACCTTTCCCGGGAGTTCTGACCTTGCTGGTCTTGGGACTTGCACCTCTTGAATCTTAGAGCAATGGAGAAGAAGGTGAGCCCAGACTTCCTGTGAGCAGAAGTTGGGGACTTGAGGCTTTTCCTGGGCCTCCTTTAGGGTGGCTATAACCCTACATACCGAAGGCTTTGAATCGGGCATGTGCTCACATTACAATACACAGCAGGTGCTTCCTCCTCTTGGGGATCCCTGTCCCCCTGTGGGTTGGTAACCCCTGTTCACAAACCATGGACATGAGATGCTTGAACAAGATCAAAGCACGTATTTGCTCTGTAGACACGGATATTGCCCACAGACTTCAAGCCCGCCACCCCCTGGACACATCTGACTTCGGAGAAGAGTAATATTTCGAGTTCTCCGTTTGCTCTGGTCGATCTTAGATGTCTACTGTGGCCTCCTTTCCCCTCCCAGCGGCTTCTCTCCGAGTTGTTGCACTTTGGGAGCCCGAGGAGCTGAGCGAGGGAGTGCATGTCCTCGTTTCTTAGTGCTTATTAATTTCTCCCAGAAGAGTCGGGCTCTGCAGTGGGAGGGAAGGGAAGACTTTAGGGCTTTAGAGTGTGTTTCCTGGGATACACGTTCTGTACACGAATGCGAAGGTGGCTACTCACCCACCCTGACGGGCTTTCTGGGGCAGCCGGAGGATTCCTGCTCTGCTCCTGAGCCGAGGCCCAGCCGTTTCAGAACAGCTCTGGGCCCTGTGCTGGGGGCTCAGTGTTCGTACAGACGGATGGCAGGTTGGGACTAGAACCGTTTCCAGCTGCTTTGCTTTTCCGCGGCTTTCTTAGTAGGTCTCATTGGTCCCCATGGAACGAAGTCGGCAGTGGAGAGTTCTTGGCGTCCCGGCACCCCGGGGTGTTACACGCACCCACCCTTAGACTCATCCCCTGAATCTTCCCAATCAATGCCTGCGCCGGCTCTCTGCTTCCTGCGAAATACTCCGTGGCCACACGGTGTCGCTGCTGAGCCAGGCTGCCTGGTCAACAGACACCCGGGCACCATGAAGTAGTCCGGAGGCTTAGTTTTTCCCTCGCGACATCACCGCGTGCTTTCACAGTATAATTTAGTAGTTTTCCATGATGCTGGCGACGCTTTCTTCTGGGTCCGTAGCGATGATTTCAGTGTCACAGTTCATGATATTCATCTTCCATTCAACGTTGACTGTGTACGAGGTGCCATTACAGGATGGACTATGAAAGAACCAAATATACACCCTGGTTATCTAAATAGTTTCACTGCATGCCAGCTGTGTTTATACAGTTTGGGGCCCAGACACTCGCTTTATAGCGAATGGCACGGAAGATTTATGAGGTACCTCGCGCTTCCACATGACTGCGACATGAATGGAAAAGACTGGCACGGGATCCGAGTAGGAAAATAGGCCCAAAGGACAGCTGGCCCCTGGTATTTGCACGGGGCGTGTTCTGAGACCTGCATTGGCACCCAGACACCACAGTATCGTGTGATTTCCGCTGTAAAATCCCATCAGCGTGATTTTGCGGTGTCGGTGCGTGATCGGACCGGGCAGCCTGCTCTTGAGGTGTGGACTCCTGGTGGCTGAGCGTACCTCCTCTCTGACCGGGGTCTAGCCGGTTCATCGAGCCTCCCAGAGGCGGGATTGAAATTCGGGCCTCAGCAAATTTATGATCTGTCAAAGTAAACCAGTAAAACACATGAGCGTATGCACACCACACACATGTATCCATAGACAAAAGACTGGAAGGAAATACAGTACATACGTGGTATATTTTTGGGTGGTAGGCTAAGAGCAATTGTAATAGGCTTTCAAAACTTTTGTTGTATTTTTCAAATTTTCTATAATGTATATGTATTATTTTTTTAAAAATATATTTTATTGATTTTTTGCAGAGAGGAAGGGAGAGGGATAGAGAGTTAGAAACATCGATGAGAGAGAAACTCCGACCAGCTGCCTCCTGCACACCTCCTACTGGGGATGTGCCTGCAACCAAGGTACATGCCCGTGACCGGAATTGAACCCGGGGCCCTTGAGTCTGCAGGCCGATGCTCTATCCACTGAGCCAAACCGGTTTGGCAGTATTATTTTTATAAAGAGCAAAACCAGTTATTAAAAATTAAAAACCAAATTACTCTATGTCAGTAGACTTTGAAGGCATTCCATAAATGGTCAAAACTTAAATAAGGCAAAAAGTCCCATATAGCCCTAGCTGGTTTGGCTTAATGGATAGAGCATCAGCCTGCAGACTGAAGGGTCCTGGGTTTGATTCCGGTCAAGGGCTCATCCCCTGGGCTGAGGGCTTGATCTCTAGTAGGGGGCATGCAGGAAGCAGCCAATCAATGATTCTCTCTCGTCATTGATGTTTCTATCTCTCCCTCTCTCTCTGAAATCAATAAAAATATATTTAAGGGAAAAGTCCCATATAGATGTTGATATTGGTTTGATGTTTGACATCTGTATTAATTGTATGAAGGGTATAAGCTTTGTTAGTAAATGACTCACACTGGTGAGTGGCCGTTAGGCTCTATTGTGGCTCTCAGGCCCAGGTGTCCTGGACTCCTGTGGGTGGGAGGTCCTTCCGTTTCATAATTGGAGCGCCCCGCACCCCCCACCCCCCGCTTGGATGCAGCAGTTTCCTGATGGAACCCCTCGAACTATTTCTCAGAGAGGACCACACTCGTGCTGACACCTAACGGTGAGTCCTTTCCGGCAGGTGACCTCCTTTCCGGGGTGTGGGTGGCGCGCCAGACTCATGAGCCACATGCTAGACCCCAGGGTTCTGTGGAGTGAGATTTCGGGGCGGCCACCACTCCGACCTGCCGTTG